CCCACATAGACCTGCTGAATGCCATGCAGACAAATGCTGATCCATTCTGAGTCCAGCCCTTGCTGCTCTCCAAGGTCTGGATCTCCTATTACTTTACCAGGTGGCCCCCAGCGAATGGCAGGGGAGCCCTATCTCCCCCTCTGTTAGAGTTCTTTGGAATGGACACAATAGTCCTGCCCCTCCTCAGCACCCCACCCCCACCCCAGAGGCCAGGCCACGCTGCCCAGGAAGTATCAGGCAGGGACTCAGATTGCAAAGATACACGGTGACACAGACACTCTGCCAACCTCCAGGAATTCAGGCCAAGAACAGATAATGCTGACACCAAGCATGCACCATAATTGCTAGGTGTCTAAGAGCTAACTGCTCCAGGTATAACATTGCTCTAGGCTGCTTTCTCCAAATCCCTTGATAAAAGGAATCTAGGCACAACCATCAACAAAAATGAGAACTCCACTCCAAATCCCCTCTCCTGTCCTATTCCTGAATCTTCTTCCCTCCGGGCCCCAGTACCCTCTCTGAGTGCAGTGTCTGGGTCCCATCAGCTCAGGGGCTTCCCCTGACACACAAAGGACTGCATCTCACCTGCACAAAGCGTTCTCTCCTATGCGGATGCAGAGCAGTATACAAATGTCTGCCAGCTGCCCTGCACCCTTGGCTACGGGGTAGGCTCAGGGTGGGGAAGCGGAAAGGACACCAACTCCGGAGTTGGAATCCCAGCTGTGCCAAGTAGGACAATTTATAATCCTCAGTCTTTTTGCATCTTAGTTTGCAGATCTGTAAACTGATATTAGCAAAACCTACCTTACAAGAGTGTCCTGGGGATTAAATGAACGGACCTACACTAGGTGCTTGGGAAGGGGCGCTATTTTTATAAGGGGTTTCACCAACTTGGCTCAGTGATACAGTTCCAGGCACAAAGCACTCAAACAATTTGTAAAAGAAGCATTTTAAAACCAGAGTTCTATTGGCACTTTATTGGAAGTGAATCGGATTCCCTTTGGACTAAGGAAGGGCAGACTTCTTCTTCTCTAAGAATTGTTCATTCAATTCAGACAGATGCCAAATGCATGGAGAACTTTGATTCTGTTGTAAGAAGCCCAGAATGGAGGTCATGGGACCCATGCTAATTCAGGTTTTCAGGTTATCTCAAGCAGCTCACTTCACTGGTCTGACCAGATTACAATGATTCTCAAGCCCAGCTACACGTTAGCATCAGCCCGGGAGCTGTTCCAACCTATGGGTGTGCAAGCCCCATCCCAAAGCGATTTCACCAGAATCTCTGCCAGGTAGGGTGAGGTATCAGTACTTTAAAGAGCTCCCTGGATGATTCTCATGTGAGATCCACTGGACCAAGAGATCTCCATGATCCCTCCCAGGCATCCTGGTGCGTACAATAATGTATGATTCAGAGTAGACATTTAGTATATGCTTATTGAATAAATGGATGAAGATTCTGACTCACTTTTTTTGCTATTTCCATATTCACCAAAAAAAAGAAAATAAAAAGAGCTGAATTCCAAGTAAGGATCCTAGAGCAGTACTGTCCAATAGAAATTTCAGCGATGATGGAAACGTTCTGTAATCTGTGCTGCTCAGTATAGTAGCCATAAACGGTATGTGGCTACTGAGCACTTGAAATGTGGCTAGTGTGACTGAGGAGCTGGATTTTAAAGTTTATTTAATGCTGATTAAATTTAAATAGCCACATGACTTCTGGCTACCACACTGGACAGTGCAAACAAAGAGTATGTACCTTTAATGAACACATCTATAGCTGTGTACTTCCACGTTCCCCTTTTACCAACAGCACCCCATTTTCATTTAGGGCAGCCCCCTGTCACCAACACCTGCAGTCTTTTGGGGACAGCTAATGAAGTTGCCCTGCCCTTCTCCAGCCAAGGGGTGAGCCCAGGACACAAGCTACATCAACCTCTCCAGAAATTTTACTCCAGCTTCAGTGTCACAAGAATAGAAAATGAGGGCTTCCCTGGTGGCGCGGTGGTTGAGAGTCCGCCTGCCGATGCAGGGGATACGGGTTCGTGACCCGGTCCGGGAAGATCCCACATGCTGTGGAGCGGCTGGGCCTGTGAGCCATGGACGCTGAGTCTGCGCGTCCGGAGCCTGTGCTCCGCAACAGGAGAGGCCACAACAGTGAGAGGCCCGCGTACCGGAAAAAAAAAAAAAAAAAAAAAAAGAATAGAAAATGAGTTGGAGTAGATAAATACCAATGTTAGTACTGGCATTAAGACACTGTGTATCGGTTTCCAGAACATTAGTCCAGAGTTTGACGATCACAACAGTGATATATGAGATGGGCTAGGCATCATTATCATCACCATCCTTGTCATCATCAAAGTCCCTGGTACCTAGAAGATGTGCCAGCTTCTGAACTAAGTACTTAAGTTGCCTAGCTTCCCTGTGCATCATTTCTTCATCTGTAAATTGGAAATTGACTCCTCCTAACCTCTTCCAGCGTTTTTGTGAAGACAGATCAGGTCCATAAGAGCTTTGAGCCAAATAAGGAGTTACCCAAGGTTTTGCTCTCTGGGCATTAGTGTGGGGGAATCATGAGAGGATTTGATGCAGGACACAGTATCTAGGCCCAGTTTACAAGCTGTGTGACACCAGGCAAGACACTTGTCCTTTGTGGGCTTTCAGTTAAAATGAGATTGAGTTAGACAACTCCCTTTCCAGTTTCTCCATTTTCTAACTTATTTGCATGCCCCTCCCACCTGGACTGACACCTATCCCTTCCCACTTCTAAGAACACCCCCCAGAAAACTCTCTAGCCAAGACCATGCTGGCCTTGTGGCCAACTCATTTCTTCTTTCCCCGACAACCCACCTGACCAGAAAGTTGCCCGGGGTAAGCACTCCCGTACCTTCCTGTACTAAGCGTCTGGCAAAGCACTTTACTGGAAACATGTTTAAACATCTCCTCTACTAGTAGACCATAGCCCTACTAGGGCAAAGACCATGTCCCTCTTATTCACCACTGTATCCCCAGTGCCTAGTACAGGGTTAGGCACATAAAAGGTGCTCAGTAAGTACTTACTGTTTGAATGAATACCCCAAATCTATCTATTTTATTATTTATCATTTCAGGAAACCCACAGTATTCATTATCTAATGCTGTGTAACAAAGTATCTCAAAACCTACCGGCTTAAAAACAACAATCACTTCTTAGCTCCCAATTTCTGTGGGAGAGAGATTCAGACAGGGTACCGTGGGGTTGGCTTGTCTCTGCTCCTTATCTGGAACGTTGGCTGAAAGACTCAAAGGCTGGGGGCCGGAATTGTCTCAGTTCACCACCTAGCTGGTGGTTGAGGCAGGCTGTTGCCTGAGAGCCTAGCTGGAGATATTGGCCAGACCACTTCATGTCACCTCTCCCATGTGGCTTGGGCTTCCTCACAACATGGTGGCTGCGTTCCAAGGGTGGGTGTCCTGAGAGAGTAAGAAAGAGACAGGAGGAATGTCTCCTTTTTATGACCTAGGTTTGAGAGGTACATCCCATCGCTTCCACCACCTTCTATTCATTAGAAGCCAGACACTAAGTCCAGCCCACATTAAAAAGGAAGGGGATTAGACTCCATCTTTTGAGAGAAGTGGTAAAGAACTTGCAAACATATTTTAAAACCATTACAACCATTTAGCTAGCACAAGAGGCAAAATGCATGGTGAAAGCTAAGTGTCTGAAGAAGCAGGAATTCAGGTCAGATTTTTAGCTGTGTGAACGTGAGGAAATGACTCTCTGAAACTGGGTTTCCCTATCTAAACAATCAGTAGGTTGCAGTTATTGGTCCCTGGTGGTGTTTACATGCTTGGAGTCTTCTTGCCTCAGTCATCTTAAAAGGATTCCCTCATAACTTTCTTGACATCCACTGACCCTTCCCATCATTGATCACCCTTGGTTTCTGACAGTGGAGGCAGCAAGAGTTTGCTACTGGAGCTAGGGGACCTAGGATTCAGACACCAGGGGCAACTTTAAGGAACAGATGTTGAACCACTGAGGACCTCGGGATTCTCCAAGGTCTTCTCAGTCCCAGCCCAGGAGAGGTGAGAAACGCAGCAGTCACAGACCTGAGGAATCTGAATCTGCCTGCTGGGGCCCAGGGATCTGCATTTACTTTTTCACACTAACTGCTGCTGGGGGGAGGGGAGGAGTTTAAAGCGAGTACCCTGGCTGTCTCATTTTAGTCAAGTTCCTTGCTTTTGCTCCCAGTTCGAGGCTTTTCCGCTCCACCACTCCGTGAAAGGGGGAGGGGGAGGGTGCCTTGGGTCTCTGCAGTCCTGGGCCCCGCATACAACAGTGAGCCGTACTTTCGCCTTTTTCTGGGCCGGCTGACCCTCCCCAGCCATCGCCTCGCGTGGGTCATGGTCCTAAGACTCGGGCGGAGCATCCCCCTGCCGTGTGCGCCCGGCGCCCAGAGCCGGGTCCTGGGAGGCCCACAGGGGCGAAGTCAGCACACCGCTATCACTGGTGCAGGTTATGGGGTGGAAAAGGGTGACTTTTAACCCTTTCATTTTCAAGGGGTAGTGACCCTGACCCCTTGATAGCCTCCTTTAAGGAACACGCGCGCCGGGAGATCTCTGTGCTCACCCAGTGTGAAGACCCCGGCTGACAGATAGGGAAACCGAGGCCCATAGAAGGCAGTGATCTGTTGCATGTCCCACACGATCTAGAACCCTGGATTTTCAAAACATAGTCTGGTTTCTACACCCTGAGGGAAATTCAGGCAGACAGTCCCCTAGGAAATTCCCGACCGCGGGCCTTCCGAGCCCGGAATTCCCTCCGTGGAGTTTGAGCTCGGTTTGGCACGTTGCGAACTTCGCCTGCAGCTCTGCACCGGCTTCGCGGCGTCCTGAGAGAGGGGTGAGAGGGGAGCGCAAGCCCACCGGCATCCTAGAGGTAACTGGGGGCAGAGGAATGGCTGAGGGAGAAGGAGGCCCCGGCGGGAACGCACTGGCCCTTTAAGGGGGGGACGGAGCGCATGCGCGGCGCGGGCCGGAGTCGCGCCGGGTGGGCGGCGGGCCGGCAGTGGACCCCGCCGGCAGCTGCTGGGTCCTGAGGCGGCGGGGGTGGCGGTGGCCTGATCTTCGCCCAGCCTCGGAGAAGCGACCTGCGCGTGGACCCCGCGCTCGGCGGGCTGCTCTCCGGCGACTAGCGCAGCCCGCGCTCGCCGAGGCTTTGTCACTCGCCTCTAGCTTCATCCGCGGCCGTGGCTGCGCGAGCCTCCGGGCTTGCTCTCTCCGCCCAGCTGTCCTGCCTCCAGCCCTTAGCTGGGGGCGTGGGGTACGCAGCTGGAGCCCGAGCTAACAGCCGCGGAGCATCCTTCGCCCGTCCCGGCCGCGCCACCGCCCATGCTGCAGCCAGTCCAGGGCGGCGACCCTGTGGCCGCAGCCCGCCTCTCGGTGACCCTGCGCCCCGCCCGAGCCTTCCCCGCTGAGCCCCGGGCCCGGGAGCGGGACCCGCGCCCCGTGATGGCTCGGCTGGCGCAGGTTGGCGCCGGGTGCCCGCCATCCGCCCGCTGAGACGCGCCCGGCTGGGTACCGACGGGGCCTTGGCGCTCCCCGCTTCTCTTCCCCGCCGCGCCCTTCCCCCTTCTGGGGGCTCCGCCGCTCCTTCCCGGGGGCGAGGGCACAGGGGGCCGAGACAAAGCCCACTTTGTGCGGGGAGTTGGCTGCGGGCGTGGAATGTGCGCGTCGGCGCGCGCCCCCTCCCCGCGCCCCGCCAGCTGCGAGTCTTGGCTCCCAGACTCGTCTCGTCGGAGAAATCGCGCCCCCTCACCGCCCTCCGGTCCGGGGGTCCCGGCTTGGAGCTGACGCGGCCTGGAGTCGGGTCAGTCCCCCACCCCGGAGCGCGCGCAGGTGTGAGAGTGCGATATTTTGTAGTGGAATTTGCTTTCCTTCAAAACTGGGAGCTGGGGCGCCCAGTCGGCGTGGGCACTCGTGCCTTGACCCTTTCGTGGCCGCAGACCTGAGCTGCCTGGCCTCAGTTTCCGTCTGACTTTCCTCTGCCAGCCCAGACTGCTGTCCGTTATTGTTCTCGCCGTCAAATGGGGGTGCTTTGTGAAAGCTGCCAAGTTGGGAAGTATTCTCTAGATCCCGTTTTTCATAAAGAACAAGGCCTCTAAGGCTCATCCGGGACAACCAACCCCCTCTGCCCCGCACTTCATGTTGAGGCACTGATTTTTTCCCCCCCATCAAGTAGTATTTTATTGTACGGGAGCCACGCCCTGGTTTCTTAAAGGCGCCTTGCACTCTGTTTGGCCATGTGTTATCTCTGCAGCTGGTGTGTGGGAGGCCTCCTGTGAGCCACCTTTCTTACCCCTGTCCGCTGAGACATCCTCCCACCCCCGTCAAGGATTTGGGGATGCCAGGGGGGAAGAAGGTGGTCGGGGGCGGCAGCAGCGGTGCTGCCCCCACTGCCGCTGCTGTCCCCTCTGGGGCCAGGCGTTTGGAAACCAGCGAAGGAGCCTCAGCCCAGAGAGATGATGAGCCAGAAGAAGAAGGGGAAGAAGACCTGCGAGATGGAGGCATCCCCTTCTTTATCAACCGGGGTGGGCTGCCTGTGGACGAGGCCACCTGGGAGAGGATGTGGAAGCACGTGGCTAAGATCCACCCCGATGGAGAGAAGGTGGCTCAGCGGATCCGTGGGGCCATGGACCTGCCCAAGGTGAGGGGTTTGTGTGTGGGAGGGGAGCGGAGAGCTAAGATCTTAGTGACCTTGGGGCTTCCAGAGCAAAGGGACACTTTCTGTGTTGGGGTGGGGAACTACTGGCATGGTAATATGTTAAAAATATAGGTAGGTTGAACCTGTCCAGAAGAACTTTCTCTCAGTTGCAGTTGAGGTTGTTCTGTGAGGTCCACATGCCCTGTTTCCAGGAGGCCCTCCTCTATCTCTTCTAAAAAGCCCATGTTTTGTGGGCAGAGCAGCAGATTAACTAACAAGTACACTAAAGTGGCCTGACATCTTATTTGCTAAGTCAGAGAACTGTGGGCAGAGAGAATGAATGACTAAGGAGGCTCCAGGGCTTAAGATGTTGAGAAAATATTTTCATGTGTTGTTTTACTGAATTCTCCAACAGCCTTGTGCATTAAGTGCAGTTTGGGGACCCATTTTACAGACAAGAATGCTGAAAACTCAAGTAGGAACTAGGGGTCCCACAGCCAGTAAGTGGCAGAGCTTGGGTCTCACCCCCAGGTCTTCCGGTTCCAGGGCCTTTGCTTGGGGGGACACGAGGTTCAAGGGCAGTTAGAAGAGGGCCTGTGGAGAGGGGCAAATTTCAGTCATTTATCTGTGTACGCCTGGAACTTCTCCATGACAGCTCTCCTTCAGTTGTGTCACCGTGGAGGCTGAGGCTGTCTCATTCATCTTTGTCTTTCCAAGACCTCCTGTGTGCTTGGTACAGAACAGGCACTTGTAAGTGTTTGCTGAATGAAAGGGTTCTTGAGACTTTCTGTGCCCTATAGTGCTAGGTGGAAAAACGTGCCTGATTTTTTTTTTCCCCCAACGTTATGGTTAAGACTAAGAAAGCACTCTCCCAAATGCAGAGTCCTGAAATCCCCCAAGAAAAGCCAATTGGACAGAGGTCAGAGCCCCAGGCACAGGTCCTGCCTGCTCAGGTGAGTAGGAGGGGGCCAGGAAGAGCAGCAGTTAATGTGGATTAGACATGGAGACAGGTGGCCTATTTTGTTTTCTTTTTACCAAGTTATTGGTAGAACCATCAGAGACTATCTTCTGGGACAGGCTGAATTCAGAGGTTGAAGGTTGAGGAACTGCCATATATTTCCAGGGGAAATCAAATGTGGTTTGCTTTTGAAGGCTACCTAATCGCCTTCTGTACTAATTTAGAATTTAGCTAATTCCCTGTGTCTGGACATTGTTTCCGATAATTTACTCTTAAAGAGAACACTGTGTTGCACATTCTAAAACATGAATTTGGGTGTCCATCTCTGATTATTTCCTTGGGATAAATGCCTGGAAAAGGAAGTGTGACGTCAAAGGATATGGACATCTGTTCTGATCACCCACCTAGCTATGAACTCAAGCAGGCCCCTTCAACCTGTTTGAGCCACAGTTTTCTCATCTGTAGAATGGGGTTGATTGTAGTGAAGCTTAAATGAGAGAATATGTTTTAAAACATTTAAGAAACTGTAAAGCCTCAAACCAGTACTGGTTACTGGATGTTCATTACCTCTGTTCACATCCTTCATCAGGAGAGGAGGCTAGATCTCACTCAGCATTTGTTCCAGTGAAGCTAGAGCCACATGCTTCTCCCACGTGAGCAAGTTGGGGATTAGCAGATGGCTATCCAGCCATCCTGCTGATGTCTAAATCAGGCTACGAGAGAGTGTGAATGGACCCCTGCAGAACTGTCACAACTCCTGGGGGCTGAAAAAAAAAAATTGACAACCTCATTAGCAACTGGTTTGGTAATGTCATCTTGTCATCTTCAAGCTTCGTGCACAGGAAAGATACTGATGAAGGAATGAAGCTGTTGTCTGTCGGGGGGTGTCATGACTGGCAGGAGTGTGCAGGTCCTGAGGGAATTTTGTGAGAAGATTGGGAAAATTGAAACTTCTCCTCCTCAAACCACAGGGAAAGTGTGTGTAGGGTTCCTCCTCCACCTCGGCCCAGAGTAGGAAGGAGCCCCAGAGTCTGGGCAGGGTGGAGGAGGCCGGGAGGCAGCAGGGTCAGGTCCCAGAGTGCCAGCAGTATGCACCCAGTGCTGGGCTGGCCCCTCCCTGAGTGGTCATGCCCTTGGAGTTGACACAGAGGCATTCACAGAAGAGATTACACTGTGGTGAGACTAAGAGTTTGGGGATGGCATAATGGGTTTTTTTTTTGGTTTTTTTGTGTTGTTGGTTTTTTTTTTTTGGCTGCGTTGGGTCTTCATTGCTGCGCACTGGCTTTCTCTAGTTGCGGCGAGCAGGAGCTACTCTTTGTTGTGGTGTGCGGGCTTCTCATCGCAGTGGCTTCTCTTGTTGCAGAGCATGGGCTCTAGGAGCGCGGGCTTCAGTAGTTGTGGCACGCAGGCTCAGTAGTTGTGGCTCGCAGGCTCTATAGCGCGGACTCAGTAGTTGTGGTGCACAGGCTTAGTTGCTCCGCGGCATGTGGGATCTTCCCGGACCAGGGATCAAACCCGTGTTCCCTGCATTGGCAGGCGGATTCTCAACCACTGTGCCACCAGGGAAGCCCTGGCATAATGTTTTAAAAGGCCACTTGAGCCAAAATTTAAAATAGGGAGATTTCACATTCAAGGTCCAGATTTTTGGCATCTTTTCAGAAAATGAGAAGATCTGGAAACAGAGAATCTGTGATCCCACATGGCAGGAGGCAGCTGGAGGTGAGGGCTGGTCCCACTCCCCCAGGTGGCCACGGTCCCCTCCACCCACTCTCAGCCTGCCTTCCCTGTGGTTACCTGTGCGGCCCCTGCAGGTGGTTGAGCCTGGGGCCCCCGCAGTGTAGTGTGATAAAACATCACATCCACCATGTTCAAATCCCGGTTCTTCCGTAACTACTTGTGGGTGGAAGGTATGCAAACTCCTTGTGCCTCAGTTTCCTCAGCTGTGAAATATAAAATGGGCATAATAGCAATACCCACTTTTGAGGGGTTATTGGGAGGAACTGATGAAGTAAAGCATGTGAAATGGGTGAGCGGAGCAAGGAGGTGAGGGTGCAGCAGACCACCCCACAGGCGCTTTGGGGAAACGTCCTTTACAAGGATGATGCCAGTGTGTTAAAGGGCAGCAGTTTCTAAAAGCATCACAGATCCAGGAGCAGTTTGTGCCCCTTTGTATGAATGTCTCCTTGATGTTTCAAGCTGCCACTGCCTTTTTTTTTAAAATAAATTTATTTATTTCATTTATTTATCTTTGGCTGCATTGGGTCTTCATTGCCGCGTGTGGGCCTTCTGTGGTTGCGGTGAGCAGGGGCTACTCTTCGTTGCGGTGCGCGGGCTTCTCATTGCGGTGGCTTCTCTTGTTGCGGATCACGGGCTCTAGGCACACGGGCTTCAGGAGTCGTGGCTCACGGGCTCTAGAGCGCAGGCTCAGTAGTTGTGGCGCACGGGCTTAGTTGCTCCGCGGCATGTGGGATCTTCCCGGACCAGGACTCAAACCCGTGTCCCCTGCATTGGCAGGCTGATTCTTAACCACTGAGCCACCAGGGAAGCCCCTGCCACCACCTTTGTGAAAGCTCAGTGGCCACTGGTGGGGCTCTGGACACCGAGCTCCTGCAAAATGCGAATTTGGACATCTCCCCCCAAAAAGCCAGCATTGCCAGGGTCCTCATGGGCTGACCAGTGTCTTTGGCACGCACAGGAATAACAGTGACAGTGGGCAGGAGCCGAGCCTCTGCTGTGTACAGAGGACTGTGTGCAGGGCCTTAGGCCCTGTCGTAAGGCCTGGACATGCAGTGTCTCATCTAGACTCTGAGGTTGGTTCTGTTATGGCACCCACTAGGATCTTGCTGCCAGGCAGTGAACGGCGGGCTTGGGATTTAGACAGAGATGGACCGGTTCCAGATCCAGCTCTATCAGCCTTTAGGCTATCGTACATCTTGTCCACACACTCAGCTGCGGGCTGCCCCCCCTCCCCCAAGCCTCCTTTCTGTTCTAGTCCGAGATGGACTCCGCTGGGGGAGAATGTCTTAATAGAACTCAGGACTTTAGGGGGTTCCTGGAGCAAAGGTAACCCTTGGCCTTGGTAGTGGAGGAGGAGTCATCCCTGAATTGATCTGGGCCAATATCACTTACCTCCACTGTGACCCCACTTAACCCCACTGCTCAACAGTGAGGGCGCATTTCCTGGCTTCTGGTTTGGGGTTGGGGGCTGTGGGCAAACCCAGGCTGCCAGCCCTCCACTAGGCCCGATCATTTGGATGTACAGAATCTTGCCTGTTTGTTTTGAGTGAATGAGTGTATGCTTGTGTGAACATTCAGAAGAAAGGTGCCGGCCTGTTGGCAATGGTTAACGTGAGTTAATGTGTCACTGAGCCGCTGGACAGCTCCCTCCAGCTAAGCCTCAGTGATGGTGGCCTTTAAGCCCCTGCTCATGGATTCCAGGTCTTTTTTAACTTTTTTGGAGCCGTTTAGTTTTTGCAGAGCCGCCAGTTCCTGGGTCCTCTGTCTGGGTGGCAGGGGATGCCCTCGTGGGTACCGCCCGGCCCTGGCCCAGGGCTGGCTCCTGTGAGCTTAGTCTAAGGACTCTTGGACCATAGTGCCCTCCTTGTTTGGAGTGTCTCCCGGGAGGGTGTACTTACAGTCCCTACCCAGGCTCCTCGAAGTCACTGGATGCCCTCACGGGAAGTGGGAACGACGTGCCTGGGATCGATCTTCCACCTGAAGAAGCCACGTGCCGTGCTGTTTATAGTAAATTGTGCAGTAATTCCTCTCCCACCCCATATCCTTGACACGGGGAGGCCAGCCAGGCCCTCAGAGAGTTCTGGAGCCCGTCTGGCACACGGTGGTCAGGCAGGCAGGGGGAGAGCCCACCGTCCGGGGCTTTTATCCCCCTGCTGATTGTAAGTGGTGGCGACAGTCTGGGCAGCAGGGGGTGGTGTGAAAGGGAAAGTAGCTTCCTCCAGATGAGGTGTCAGTGGCTTGGGACTGCCCAGACCGGAAGGAGGGGACGGGCAGGGAGGGGGAGGAAGTTCACGCAGAGCTGCCTCCTGGACCTGGCCTTCCCTCTGTGCCTCGGCCCCTTGGGGCAAGTAGGTGTCTGTTAGAGGCTGTGCTGTGTCCCCCTGCCATCTGTGATCACTGGTGCGTTACTTCCCTTCATGTCAGAGCCCCAGCCGCTGTAGCCACGTTATTTAAAAGGCTGTGCCTTCACCACACCACAGGGAGCGCCTCCCCCAGCCCAGCCCTACCTGTGGGCTCCTGCTTTGCCCTTTCCCTTCGCTACCTGTGCACACCGACACTCCCAGCAGCCCCTGCCTGCTGGGGGGCGGGGCAGAGGCCTGGGGGCAAGAGCGTGGGACCTTTTCGTGTGAGGAGCCTGAGGCCATCTCACAGCTGGCAGTGCTGGTAGCCAAGGGGGACCCCAGAGGGGTGGGCCTTGGCCCTGGAAATCTGGTTCTTCTACCCAGTGAAGGCCGTTCTGTAACCCCAAGGACCCGGTTGATGCTCCCCTTGGCTTCTGAGGCCTCACTGACTTGTGGCAGCCAAACCGCCAGACTTCGGGCTCCCCTGGCCGGAGAGGGTGGCCTGGGGGTGCACACCTGGTGGTGGCCTCTTTCCTGGCAACGGCTTGGTTGCTGAGGGACAGCCCTAGGGGTCCACAGCTCCTAACCTGACTCCCAGCATCCGGGCAGCCCAGGCTGGCGGTTCCCAGCCCTCAGGAGGCCCCTGCCCGACACCCCACCTCTCCCCTTCCTGGGTCTGGCTCTGGAAAGTCTCTCCTGGTGAGGAGGACGGTACAGTTCCCTGGTTACCTGTGCTGGTTACAGGTGTGGAGCTGGTAGGACAGGGGGCTGTTGAAGGGGAACCGGAGTTCGTGTGCTGCCGTGGAACCCCTTCAAAGTGGCTACTCCATGGCAAGACCCGTCCCAAACCACGTGCCCCCTGCACTTCCTCCTGGACAGCTTAGCTTGGGGCTGGAAGGCCTGGTCGCTGTGCTGTGATATGGGGGGTGGTGCGTGACACCACCTGCCGAGGGTGCGTCCGCCTCTCACGGAGCGCTCCCCCAGCCCAGGACAGGGACACCTGATAAACCGATTTTGATCCGGCCCTTGAACCAGAGTGAACACCACCCCAATACTGACATTCCTGTTAAGCCTTGAAGTTAATGAAATTTAAAATTCAAACACCTGTGAGTCAACCTGTGTTTTTCTGAAATCACTAAAGAAGCATAAAATTGGCACATGGACGTAAGCTCCAAATTAGAAATGCTGTCCAGTGCCAGGAGGGAGAGGAAGGGCTGTGGTGGGGGCCTGACGGGAGCCTCTGGAAGGGGCTGCCGAGGAGAGAGGCTCGGCCGAGGAGAGAACCGGGGTGGCCCTCCATGGGATGTGGCTTCTCTGGGGGCTAATCTGAGTGTTGGGTGGGCTGGAAGCTCCACGGTGAGCATCCCTCTGTGACCAGAGCTCTTTCTCCGTCCCCAGATTCCCATACCGAGTGTGCCTACGTTCCAGCCCTCTACTCCTGTCCCTGAGCGCCTGGAAGCTGTGCAGCGCTACATCAGGGAGCTGCAGTATCCTCCCTGGTCAGGGTCATGGCCACCGTCTGGCTGGTCCAAAGGCCAAGTGGGGCTTGTTTTCGGACAGGGCCAGAGAGGGCTCGGCAGGGCAGCCTCATTCCACAACTCCAGGGGCGCCGTTCCCATGGCATCTCTGTGCCCCGGAGTCGTGTAAGCACAGCCTGTGTCCGCCCGGGTGTTGGAGGTAGTTTGATGAATGCCAGACGCACTCCAGCCTCTCTGCCACCTGCTTCCTCCTCTGTGTGATGGGGTAAATGTCTCCTGAGCGACCTGCTGGTGGAAGCCTAGTCCAGGTCGGCCAGGCCAGACCTCCTCTGCTGACCATCCAGCGCCAGCAGAGGGATAGAGGGGAGTTTCCCTTGGGGCTGTTTAAAAACTGGTCTAAAATGGGTATGTGGTGGGAGGGCGGCAGGTAGATGGAGAAAAAGGATTTTATGCTTCGGGAGGTAACTTCCCCATCTTGGAAGTTTCTCCCATTTCTTCACCTTTTTCTTCCCTGGCAGGAGGCCAGTTGCCCAGCATGGGAAGAGCCTCCCCTGAGCCCAGGATTCACCAGTGTCCCTGAGTTGGGCCCCTCCACCCCTGTGCCCTGCCTGGAGCTATGCGACCTAGGCTCTCCCCCCCTCTCCTAGCTGCAGATTCAGTCAGGGATGGCAGGACCAGGCACCAGGCGCGGGTCCTGAGCAGAAGAAAAGCCAGGCTGGTGACTGAAAACTGGGTCCAGCCCTTCCTTTGCCGTGGGGGGTGGGGGTGGGGGCGTTGGGGCCCAGAGAGGGAGGCAGTTGGCTTGGGAGCGGCACTCAGCAACGCAGTCGTGCAGGAATCCCAGCCCAGCCTTCTCCCAGTTCGCGCTGCTTCTCACTGGTTCGACTATGAAGTACTGCAGAGAGCTGTCCAGGGCTCAGCCTCTTTCCCAGCCCCGGCTGCCTGCCCCATGGCTCCCTCCCTAGGAGAGCAAGGGTGGTAGCAGAGAACGAGAGAGAAGGACGCAGAGGGGCCCTGTGGGGCAAGGAGAAGCAGCGTGCTGCGTCCCCTTCTCCCTTCAGACAGTCAGGTCTTGAGCATCCTCCCAGGTGCCTTACAGAAGCATTTTGTGGGGTCCTTACCCAGCCTGCACCCCTGGGAGTGCTGGACCCCCAGGGTCTGGATGAGGGCAGAGGGACACACCTCTTCCAGGTCAAGCCAGGAAGCCCTTAACCGGCACCCACAGGTACAATCACACAGGGACGCAGTTCTTTGAAATTAAGAAGCGCAGACCTCTGACAGGGTAAGTGCGGGGAGTGGCTCGTCCCTCTGCACCAAGGTAACGGCGCCTGGTCCAGTTGGAGCCCCTCGGGCACCTGTGGGTGGAAGCTTATGAGGCAGGCAGGGACTCTTCCCAGGGGAGCCCGCCAGCAGGACAAGTACCACCGTGGGGCCCTCCTTAGGACATCCTAAAGAGGGGACTCTGGCCAAGACGGGCAGCCAGGGCTCCCTTGAGGATGAGGAACCCTGACATCCACGCTGAGCCAGGAGGGTGATGGCAGCCCCCCAGCTTGGTGATGACAGAGGGCAGTCCCAGGTAGATGTCTGGGTGTGAGCCTCGTCTTCTTTTTAAGAGAGGTGGGCCTCGCAGGAGAGAGCCCTCCGCCTCTCTCCATTCCCTGGAGCTGCCCGTGCACTCCCCACGGCAGGGACCTGCATGTCACCCCAGTGGCCTTACTGGACTCTCTTCTGGTCATTTAATACAAGGCCCAGTTTCTGAGCAATAGGGACCCCACTGGAGAGAACACTGCATCTCTCACTTCCCATTCTACACCCCAAGTGTTGACCCCTGACTGGATCCACCCCGAAGAAACCCTTAGGGCAGATCAGAATAGAGACTGAATGCCACAGCTGGGTCTGGGGGCCCAGCCCAAAGCTGTCCAGGCGTCTAAAACCCTGTGCTTTTAAAATTAATGTGAATTTTATGTCTTGCTCCACATATAATCTGTCCATGTTCACTGCCTTGTAAAAAATGCTTTAAATGGCTTATTAGCTAATTACTTAATTACCCTCTTTCCAAGCCCCCGGGTGGAATGCAGCCTTGCTCACCCCAAAGCTTTGTTCTTGTTGTCCTGTGGCCGCTGTGTGTGTGGGCCCAGCTCCAGCCTCATGGGATGGAGGAGTCCAGCACCCTCCCCAGCAAAGCCAGTGGCCAGGCTGCATTCCGAGGCCCAGAGGGCAGCATTCGGTGAGGAGGGAGGAACCAGGCTTCAGGGATAGTCTATGTTAAAGTGGCCTGAATTCCAAGTTCAAGAAGCAGGCAGGGGAGTCACTGGGCAGCTAACTTCCTGAGATCCCATGTCCAGGCCCCAGGCAGCTGGCCAGCTGCGGGGCAGCTGTTACAATCAATTACAAACTCTTCCGAGAAGTCGGAGTTGGGTCAGGGGTGTCCACTGTGCTGTGGAAGAGACAAGATCAAGATCAAGGCCAATGTCTCTAGCACCCTTGGCATGCTTTCCCATGGGCCCCCCAAACACCACCTTCACAGAGGGCCCCTAGCCCAGTGGCTGTCAAAGATCTGCCTACCACTGCATGCCCCCCATTCACCCTCCCCGCCAGAGGTCTTGGAGCAGAGCCTGAGGGGAGGGGGAAGAGGCCTCTTTCCTTAACTTCAGTGGTTGCCTCTTCTCCCACCCCCTTAGGCTCAGGAAGGATGTGAGGGGAAGGAGAGGGAGGTGCTGGGCCTGAGCTGAGGCAGCTTGAAAGGGAGGGGAGTCTCTGTCCATCTAGCATCTCTAGTCCACCTCGTGATACTCCTTCACCGGAAGGAGCCTCTGTCCTTATGACTCTTGCCTCCCTTCCCCCCAGGCTGATGGACCTGGCCAAGGAAATGACCAAAGAGGCTCTGCCAATCAAATGCCTGGAAGCCGTGATCCTGGGAATGTATCCTTCCTCTGAGAGGCCTGGGTGGGGGTAGGCACGTGCTCAGCAGCTCTGGGCCAGCTTCGTCCTCTGGAAGGGGAGGGCTGAGTGAGCTCCAGGGCCCTCCCGGCTCCCTCTCCCAGCAGTCATGAACTTGGCCCAATGTGAACGAGCTTGAGGGGGACTCAGTCCCTTGCATCTCAGTTGCTAACTTCCGAGGCTTACTGGGCAGCTTTTTTAGAGTCGTGGACGCGGTGACCCTGTTCTCAGAACCACAGATCAGGGCACATTGTTTCATGAGGCTGTTGTGCTATTTCCCAGAACCAGAGTCTGGAAGAAGCAGGTTGGATGCCCAGATGTTGGCATTTCCAGGGCATGTTAATTTGTGGAGATAATGGATGGGATCTTTGATATAAAACTGCCTATTAAAAAAAAAGCAAACAGGGTTTCTCAGTCTTCCCCACCCAAAGGGTAGAACTGGGACCTATGGCTGGGTTACAAGAGTAGCTAAGTGGGACATATAAGCCCCCCAATATCCCCAGTTAGAGCAAAGTAAGGAGACAGGTGTTTATGGCCAGTCCTCTGTCATAAGTGGACCCTGCCTGAGCCCTACCCTGTTTTGTTTTTTTGCAGAAAATCTTAACCTTGTATAAGCATAGATTAATATAATGGAACCCATGTGCCCATCACTCAGTTGTACCAATTGAAGGCCAATCTCGATCCCTCTCTGCCCACCACCCCTCACATCACCCTCTTTCCTGCACCTACCAAGGCTTTTAAATATTCTGTTTGCCGCCCCTGGTGCAGGCACCTGGCTCTGTGCTGAGCAGGGCAAGGTGGCAGGTGCCTAATGGGACGGAGGACTCCACTCGCTAGGGCAGGTCCCGGAGGAGAAGACAACAGTCAAAGGCCAGGAGCACAGCTTCTTTGAGGAGGACTGTGATCTGAGGGGGACACTCCCCACCCCCGTAGGCATACCTGCCTTAAACTATGTGAAGACACTGAAGGGGTGCCCCCCGGTTCCCCTCCCTGAGGGGTCCTCAGAGCTAAGCCTACTGTGGCAGTCCTCTATGGACCAAAGAGCCCCACGAGCATGGCCCTGTCCAAAGGGTTCTTTGCTGGGACGAGTGTGAGGCCAGCCCAAGAACTCCGGGCTGCTGCCAGCAACCCCTTCAGAGCCACACACCAAAGTGGAGGTTCCCACCCCATCGTAAGACGGAGACTCAGTTCCCCTTCCCCTGAGCACACAGAGAAGCTGGTCCAGACGGGATCACGTGGTCCTGCAGGCTTTTCAGGGGTTACCTGCTGGCTCGTATGTAGGCGGGAAGAAAACAGGAGCAGCCCCCATCTGGGGGGACCCCTCCCCGCTGTCCCCACAGGACCACCACGGGTCCCTCCTACACACGTGGTGAGCACTGTATTGGGTTTGTCCCTGGGCCTCATCCTCGCTGCACACTGAGCCTGCGCCTTGCTCATCTGTGTCCCCAGTCACTCGCTTGCAAGGAGTCGGGCTCCGTAAGCATCGTGGTGACTGAGAGAACAGACTTCGGGGTCAGGCCAACCTGGACCTGAATCCTGGCTCTGCCGCATCCTCACTGTGTGACGCCGAACAAGTTCCTTAACATCTCTGAGCCTCGGAGTCCTCCTCTGCGGAAGGGGACGATGGCAGTCCCATCCCGCAAGTTTGTTAGGACAGTTGAATGAGCGGGTGAATGTAGGACGCTGGATGCAGTGTCTCCGTGGTCTCTCCTCCAAGCTTTTATCCTGTTGATCTCATTCTACCCGTTTGTTCAAGAAGAGTTTTGAGTGACTGTTATGTGCCCACCTCTGTGCTGGGCCCCAGAGATAACAGCAAAGAACGTGACAGACAAGGTCCCCATTCTCAGAAGATTACATTCTAGTCGGGGAGACAGAAAATAAGCAAGTAAACCAAGAAGTAAGAAAAATAATTACAGATTGTGGTGATGTGCTGTGGGGAAAATACGTAGAGCAGACTTGCTTTAGAAAGGGAGGTCAGCGGTGCTGGCCAAGCCTGAGGCCTGAGGACGAACTGGCCGCTGCAGTGGGGGGTGGAGAGGGCAGCTAGAGGAAAGAGCTGGTGCAGAAGGTCCCCCGTGGAGGTTGCAGTGGGCCGCTGGACCAGGCTCTCGGCCTCCCAGGCCATGGGGGCAAGCTTGCTTTTATTTGAAGAGCAACAGGCAGTACGTCTGTGCGTAGGGGGTGGAGAGAGAGAGAACAGGATTGTCAGTGCATCTGTGAGGAAGTGTGTGTGAGAGAAAGACGGTGTGAGAGGCAAGGTAGAGGTGAGGAGGGCTGTGTGACTGACAGGAGGAGAGAGGGAGACGGGGTGGTGTGCAGAGGGCCCTCTTACCCTTCCTTCAGCCCAGGACTCTGGAGGGCCCTGCGGTTTGGAATGCCGGCCTCACTCTTAAGGTGTTATTTGGTGAGCCCTGCTTGAGGTCATAGCAGCAGCCGGTAATCACTGAGTGCCCTGACCCATAGAGATTGAGTTTATTGAGCACCTACTTATGCCAGGCCCAACCCTGACGACAGGAAGTGGAGGTGAGCAAGACCTGTTGCCAGCACTCAGGAGCTGGGGTGCAGGGCCGCTCACTTAGCCTCTCCCAGGTTGGGGTGGAGGCCGTCCCCGTCCCGCCCCTGCGCGCTGGCCCTCGGGCCTCTCCCTGGCTGTTTCCTTAGCTGGGGCGGCGCCGTCAGTTACCTCACCAACAGCATGCCTACCCTGGAACGCTTCCCCATCAGCTTCAAGACCTACTTCTCAGGGAACTACTTCCGCCACATCGTGCTGGGGGTGAACTTCGGCGGCCGCTACGGGGCGCTGGGCATGAGCCGGCGCGAGGACCTGATGTACAAGCCGCCGGCCTTCCGCACCCTCAGCGAGCTCGTGCTGGACTACGAGGCCGCCTACAGCCGCTGCTGGCACGTGTTGAAGAAGGTGAAGCTGGGCCAGTGCGTGTCCCACGACCCGCACAGCGTGGAGCAGATCGAGTGGAAGCACTCGGTCCTGGACGTGGAGAGGCTGGGCCGCGAGGACTTCCGCAAGGAGCTGGAGCGGCACGCCCGCGACATGCGGCTCAAGGTCCGTGTGAGCGGCCGCCCTGCCCGCGAGCGTCCAGGGGTGTGAGCATCCAGGGGCCGACAGGGGTGGAGACGGAAGGGCTGCCGCTTCCTAGGGGGTCGCTCTTCCAGGGATGCCCCCTCCCTCCTCCCCTGTCCCCCCCGCCCCCGCCCCAGCAGAGGTGGTGCCAGGATTAAGGGAGATGAGGGGGAGAAGTTTCCGGGCTTTACTCAAAGGTCGTTATCCATGAGACAGCCCCCTCCGGTGAGCAGGCCAGGGGAGACTCTGGAGGGGGCAGCAGATGAGCCGGGTCTGAGCACGTGGAGGAGGGCAGGGGTGCCACAGGCCAGGTGGAGGGGGCTGTGCGTAAGGACTGGAGGGAAATCATAGACTGTCTGGAGGGAATGGTCGTGTGGGGTGGGCAGCAGCTGCCATCACCCCCGTGTATCCTGACTCTTGACCCCTAGCCCCAGTGAAGGGCTAGGAGGAAGTCAGAAAAAGGAGGAGGTTCAGACTGTGGGGACACAAGGAGGGGTGGTCCCTTCCCCTGCTTTCCCACACCCACTGAGCAGGGGTCTTGGAGGAGGGGGAGGGGCTGCTGGACCCAGAAGTAGTCGGGCTGAGCTGCTGAGGAGTTGGCCCCCAGAGCCTTACAGGTGAGCAAAATCTTGGCCTCTCCCTGGCTTCCCGTGGATGGGGGTGCCTCCTCTGGGGCCTGCCAGCCCCTCCCCATTGCCCAGTCATGCAGCCCTGTGCGCTGCCCCTCCGGGTAGCCTGGGGCCACAGCCATGACTGTGGCACCTTTGCATCCACTGCTGCTCCCCAAAACGCCGGGAGGGCAGCGGGCAGCGGTGGGTGCTCCCTTTTCAGGGTAAGGAAGTGAGGTGCGGGCAGCCCAGAGACTTGCTCACAGGCTGTGGGGGGCAGATGGGACTGGGGCTCAGTGTCCGGATGGCGAACCCAGGCACATCACAGGTGCTTTCAGGTGTCCCAGCGGGGATGCGGCTAGAGCTAAGGCAGCCCTGCCCCGCCAGCCAGCCCCTAGGCCAAGACCGTGGGGCAACAGTGCCTTCCCCAGGGCAGAAGCGGGCTGTAGTTGACCCTGCCGCTTTCAGGGGCTGCCCTCTTCCCCTGCAGAGCTCTGGGTGCCCAGCTGCTGGAGTGTTACTGCATCTTCAGGGGAGCAGGTTGGAGCTAGAGTTGGAGGCACTATTACCTAGTTTTTCGTGCTGTGTTTCCCAATCTGTTTGGTGCTGTGCATTTCCCATGTTATTTGCCCCCTTCCAGTACCACTCCCGTATACCCCAAGTTTTGAAGATTCAGGTCAAACGGACAGTGCTGCATAAATTCACTTGCTTTTCTCATTTTTTTCCTTAATCAGAGATGTAGCTGCTAGTCTGAACTTCTGATTGACTCAAGATAACCAGTGTCACCCTTGGGTCTGGTAGGATCCCAGCCCATAGCTCAGACATGGGCTGTTTCCCCAGCCGGCACATCTACCTGGCATGGGTAAATGGCCCTTTTCTCAAGGGCCAACATGAACCCTCAGTAACTTCCACCCATATTCTTGCTGTTTCAGGGGCCAACAGAGATTAGGCAGCCCTGCTGTGGAACCACTGCCCTGGCAGTTGTAGTGCCTGGGAAACAGGTTTGGGAAGACCCTGGGACGGCAGAGCATGGCTCGAGGCTTCCCGGGCCCTGCCCAGGGCAGCTTTGGGGCTTGTGGCTCCTGCCGGGCAGGACGGGCTCTGGGGCAGTCCTGGAATGAGTGTTTGTTTCTTCCTCCCCACCAAGATTGGCAAAGGGACCGGCCCTCCCTCCCCCACCAAGGACCGCAAGAAGGATGTGTCCTCCCCACAGCGGGGCCAGTCTAGCCCCCACCGCAGGAACAGCCGCAGTGAAAGGCGGTGAGAAAAGGGTTTCGCCTTGGGTGGGGGGGCTGGGGAGACAGCAAAAGGCGTTTTCCTTCCCTCTCATCTTCCAGATCCCTCTGTTCTTCCCCCCACCTCTTCTCTTTCTCACCTTTCTCTTTTTTGTCTCTGCTGGAGGGAACTTAGGATGGTGTGTTTGTTTGTGCGTTGATATGGAGGCAATGCGATCCCATTTCTCAAGAGAAGACATTGCTGGCCCACTGGTCATCCTATGCGGGGCCCAGATGCCAAGCCGGAGACCCACAGGGAAGGCTGGAGGCCAGCTGCAGAATGGGCTCTGTGGGAGGGAGGGTAGAAGGGGCGGGGCCCTGCCTACAGTGAATCCTTCCAGGAATATCACTGGAAAAGGTTTGACGTCAGATGGCAGCTGGTGGCTGGCTTTGAACGAAACTTTTGCCCCTGTGAGTCTGTGGTTTCTGCAGAAACATCCCGTTAAGACACCAGCCTGCCTCATCAGACTTGCCTCCTACACATCGGCCTGGCTCGTGCTTTAAATGTCGTTGTCATTCTGGAAGCACCTCTCTGGTGTAAGGGCCGCCAAGCTGGCCTCCAATATCCAGCATCCTTCACTTTGACCTAGGAGGTTTTCAGAGAGAACAGATCCCCCTCACAGAGACCGAAGCATTACACTATTACACTTACTTAACTGCAGCCGGAATTGCTGACCTCCGTGAAAAGCAGTACCTGCAAGAGCGTGCAGGGACCACACTCAGGACAGCAAGGCGTGTGGGCGCTCCAGAAGCACACTTCCGCAGGGGCTCTACCGATTCCTTTGGGACACCTTGGAGACTGGGGAGGTGGGGAGCCAGCAGGGGCAGCCACCCCTTGCTCCCTGCTCCCGCACCTCCCTGACGGGCCACTCACCCCTTCCCCCTCCTCTGCTCTCTCCTCCCTGCAGGCCTTCTGGTGAGAAGAAGCCTTCGGAGCCCAAAGCCATGCCAGACCTCAATGGGTACCAGATCCGGGTGTGAGGCAGGCGGCAGTGCCCCAGCTGCACCCACTTCTGGGGGCCGGCATCTGCCTGCCAGAACCGGCCTCGCTCCTGGGGAAATTGGGGCTGATGGTGGGGCAGGGTGAGGGGCAGCGGGAAGAGCGTGTCCCAGCTCAGCCACCCAAGATGCTGCCCCTCCTGCTGGGCCAATCCCCCTAACTTTGGACCACGAGGCAGTGAAGAGTTTAATTTTGAGTTTTTAACTCAACAACTGAAATTTAAGGTATTTGGGGAAAAAACTTAAAACTAATGGATCTGCCAGTGGCTGGAAGGCCAGTGCTTAGAGGATCTAAGCGCCACAGTGCTGGGTGAGGAGGGGTTGCTGGCTCTGCTGGTACCCCTGCCCCAAGGTCTCTCTGGGATTTGGGTCCATTCCATCTATGGGAAACCTCCCAGCTCTGCTAGGCCTGTGGCAGGATGGAGGGAGGGATGTTTCTCCAGTCCTGTCTGCCCTGGCAGAATCTTCACCCAGGGAAAGGAAAGCAGGGTAGGAACCACCCTGAGAAAGGGCTGTATGGCCCATATCAGGAGCTTAGCACAGGCCACATCTGCCCCAAGAGCCAGAGCCTGTGGCTCAGGAGGGTCCTCGGGCCCTTGCAGCCCCATGAACAGTGCTTTGTGGGCTGACATTGCCTCGTGGCAGGGCCCATGCTGGGATGGGATGGACGAGAGCCCAGGAGAGAACCACTGGGGGAAGGGTTCCCGGACCCCTACCTGGCCTCCTTGCTCAGCCCAGCTCTGCCTGTTGCTGAAGCCGGGGCCTCCCTGCAGAGGGGCTGGGCTCTGCCAAGGGCCCAGATATGCACTGGGCTCAGCATGACTGTGGGGACTGAATAGACCTGGTGGGTCCAGGAACCATGGCTGGGGATGGGGTGGGCCACTCAGGCCCAGGTCTGTCCCCCTGGTAGGTAGTCCCCAGGGACTGCTCCCCCTTCCTATTACCTTAGCCCTTGCTGGGGAAATGAAGACCAGATCAGGCTGCCTGTGTCCCAGCCCTACCTTCCCTCATTCAGCAGCCTGGGTAGGTGTGGAGGGCCCAGTGATGATCAGGCCTGTTGTGTGAGGCAGCTCATCAGGGAAGAAGCTGAGCTGCTGGCGTCTGCACAGCCTGCCTGGCAGGTGTGAGATACCTGGCGGGCAGGTGAGAGGTTGTGGAGAGAGGTTGGAGGGCCTGCGGGAAGGTTCTGGAGGCCCAAGTAACAAAGAGGTGTAGGTCAAGGGGGCAGTGCGGCCACTAAGGAGAGGCAGGGCCCGAGAACTGGAGAATGTAAGTGAGAAAAGAATGTGGGGGAGAGTTTAGAATCAGGCGGCCTTGGGGAGTAGTGAGTTCCCTATTGCTGGAGGTATTCAAGCAAAGACTAGATGGCTGCTTGTCATCTTGAAAGCTATAGAAAGGATTTAGGTTATGGAAGGATAACTGGATGAGATGACCATTAAGGTTTCTTAATACTGAGAGGCTAGGATTCAGCCAGGGGCAGCTGGCAGTAAGGCTGCAGCGGGGCTGGGGGCCTGGAAGAGGGAGGACCAGAGCCAGAGTTGTAAACTCAAATGCCTGCGGGGCCTGGCAGATGACTAAAAGGAGGACTGCAGGGCTGGGTGGGGATTGTGGCAAATTAATGAAGACATACCCCATTAAAGCAGCCGCTGTTGCTCAGCCATTCTGAGCGCAGGCCCTGCAGTATCAGATTGCCTGATTTTTTTTGTTGTTGAGAGGCCAGAACTCTGAATTTTTATGTGAAATATGCTGATTTTTAAATGTTGGCAGTCAGTTCAGAAAGTTGTAAAGCCCAACGTGAAAAAGAATGCTGGTTTGTAATCTCTGAAGTAGAGAGGGCTTGGGCTGGGGAGAGGTCCACCAAGGTACTTTGAGGTGGAAAGCGTGAAAAGTTGTAGGCCTCCCAGAGCAGGCCGGGCCAGGGCAGCGTCCTCGCTGCTGACGCTGCTCAGAGTGGGCAGCTACCCCACGTTCATGTTCGCTCTCCCTGCAGACCAGAGACATACCAGGAACTCCCTGCGGTTGCTGAGACACCAGAGGGTGTGGAGTGGAATAGAAATAGTGCAATTCTCAGCCTGCCAGGGAGATGGATTGTGCCTGAGAAGCAAAGAAAGGGAGAGAGGGAGACAGGATGTGTTTGCTGACGCAAGTGCCCGCCAGGGAAGGCACCAGGCTGGCAGCTCTTAACACCAGCAGCTCTTGGCCCAGAGCCAGGCCCAACAGGGAAGCCGGCTGCTCAGTCCCCTGGGTTTCTCATGGGTCACTGGGCCCTGGGGAGGTGCCTAACCTGTCCCCCGGACTACACCCCAGCCAGACCAATCCGAGGGCCACTGTGAGCTCTAACTCACCATCCCATCCCATCCCAGTTTTCAGGGAGAGGGGTGGTGGGTCCCCACGTTCACACATTCGCCTGAGGCAGAGATGGATCCGTTTGGGAGGCGTGAGGCTGAAAGTGAGGACTTTTGTGGGTCTGGATGTGGGTGCCTTGTGCAGGCTGCTCATCGACAGACACCCCAGATGCCCCTGTGGACCACAGGGCTTGAGGGTGAGACGTGAGGGAACCGCTCCTGGTATGGGAGCCCAGCAGGGTGCTCTGACCCTCTGGCTCCTTCCTGAGCCCTTTGGGGAGAAGGAAGCAGGTCGAAGCCCCAACCCCTACTGCTGTCTTCCAGGGAGGGAGCCGACCACCCACAGCTGATAACCCCCTAGCACTCCCCCTTCCTCGCTCAGACCTCGGGCCTGTGGACACCCACAGGATACAGCGGTGCTTTTTAATTTAACTGTTTCACAGATGTAGCAACCCCTCCTCCCCTCCTGGGTGTGTTTACACAGGCTCTGCTCCCCAGGGCTGGCCTGGCTGCAGAGTTTCTGGGGAGGCAGAGGCAGGGACTTCAGGGCCTTAGTCACCATCCTCAGTATCACCTCATCTCAATTCCTGTGAGGGACCGGGCCTCGCTCCTCCCGACTCAGGACTGCCTTCCAGCTCTCAGCGTGGGTTCCTCAGGGGTAGGGGCTGCTGGCTGGGGAGGGGTCAAGGGAAGGGCAGAGAAAGCTGCTTGATGAAGGGGGGTCGGCAAGGGCGGGCAGTGATTGCTCCCCAAGGCCTGGCTGCTTGTGCTCTGTGCTGGGTGCCGGGTCAGAACACTGGGAAACTGGGTTTCAAGCCTTCCCACCCACCTACCTGCCAGTCCTCTCCCTCCCACGGCCTCAGTACGGTCATGGTCCCCTCGCCCATCTCGCCAGCCAACCCATCCTTCCTGGGCCTGGCCAAGTGGGGAGAGCGGCTCCCCCGGCCCCCAGGTGCCATGATGAAGCCTAGGGCCAAGGTTCTGAGCAGCAGAAAGAGCCTGGAGGTTGGCCATATCTGGTTTCTGGCCCACTCTGTCATCTTATGCCCCCCGCTTATGCCCCCATCTTATGCCAACGCTTCCAGCTCGGACCGGACTTCCCGGCCCAGGGACGGGGTCTAATTCTGGCTGGTGGCACCCAGAGGCCTGTGTGCCTGTGCATGCCTCGGTCTCCTGCCTGGGTGGTTTCCAGCTTAGCTACAGCGGCTTCCCCAGGCACCGCCCCCCGGCCTCTGAGTATAGGGAGGTGTGAGCTGGGCCCAGCATATCGACCACGTTCTGTGTGCCAGAAGTGGGCTGTGTTGAAATCCCCACTTCCCTTGCTCCACTGAGAAACCAGTGGGAAGGGCAGGGAGATCCTCTGGGGGAGCGTGGGGTGGGAGGTGAGGTCTGCCCCCGGCCAGGCAGGGCTGCTGCGGTGCTAGCTCCAAGTCCATCAGTATTGACCCGCTCGCCCCATCTTGGTGCTCCAGAGTCCCAAGTTCCCCTTTTTCTTCAAGTCTGATGAGAGAAGAAATCGGGTGCGCTTGGCCTGGGGCCTAGTGATGGTGCACGGCCCCTCCCTCGAGCTCTGTGTTGGCTGCCATGTTGTACTGGACTTTGTTCCCCTTCTTCTCATATCAGTGTTGGCCCTCCCCCTTTGACTTTTACACTTCGTCTCATTCCTGTTCTCACTTTTTCCTTGAAATGAATAAAGTCTCCCCAGCTCAGCTGTGTGGGCTGGGAGGAAGCCCCAGTTTGTAAACCTTGTCTTCTTCTCTCTGGGAGCTGAGGCTGGAGCTGCCCCACCCACCAATGTCAGCCTCGGCAGCTCCGGAGAGAACCTGCCCGGAGGTGAGGAGAGCCCCAAACAAGCCAACAGGACACCTCACAGCCCCTGCAGTCATGATAAAACTTCTGGGGTCCCAGACTGTCACCCTCAGCCTGCTGAAGCCACTCAGCTCTTGCTAATCCTAATCTGGGAGATCTTTCCTGCTGGCTGTAAACGAATGCATTCTCCCTCACACAGCCAGTTCAGCCCCCAGAGGCGCAGGATGCATTCCAGAGCCCTGCTCTTCCTGTCCTAGTCCCCAGCAGTCCATCAGGAACAGAAGAGGAAGGCTGGGTGTTCTCCTGGGAGATGAGGCTATTTCAGGAAACCATAGCAACAGGGATCTGCAGTCCCTTCTTATCACAGTTGCCAGTGCAGAATCTATGGTGGTTAAAGCCACAGCTTTGGAAAACACCGCTGGTTCCACCCTTCTTCCTCTACACTGTCCCTCCAGCTCTGGACCTCTTCCCAATGCTTTAAGGCAAGTCCAAACAATTACAACCAGACCTGCACAGAAATATCTTTTAGACCCCACAGCATTTTTCACCTTTAACCCTTCCTCCCTGTTTCTCTGGTCTCCTTTCATTCAGCTTGGGAGTAAAACCTAGACTTATAAGAGGAGGGAGTATATTTCCTACTTCTTATCCCAGCCAATCCTTATCCCAAACAACACTAGAAGTGTTGTTTAGCACAGCAAGAGTCCCTCACTTTCGGTAGCATGGTGGTGAGGCATGGCCACTGGGAAGAGGAGGGGTGGTCCGGTGGAATCCATGAACATCTTAGACTGTACGCCATTAAAAAGAGGCAGTTATGTTAATTACAGGTTCATTTAAATCCAGCTTAAACGATAACGAAAAAGAGCCTTTCAATAAACCAGAGTTTATGAATAACTTGGATTATACACCTTCACACAAAGGCAGTCTTGAAATTTACACATTCAAGTCCAGCTAAAGTACCAAGTAAAGGGCCTTGTGGGTGGACTGCAATGAGATGGGCCCATACACAGTAGGCCCCTGGAGTGCTCTCGTGAAAGGAGGGCTGGGTTAAGTGCGGTGAGTCTGTATGAGTCAACCAGGCTCACCATGGACACTGCCTGGCCACTTTCTTAGAACTGACGCAGAGGTAAGTACCAATTGTGGACTCCCAAGAGGACCAGAACCCAACTTGCTGGGGGGATTACCGCATTTCCTTCTGCTCCCTTTCTTTCAAGCTCACAGCATGTGCCTGCCTAGTTTAGGCACATGACTAAAGTGGGTCGGACCTTTAAATGCAGGTGGCACTTCTCAGAGCCCTGGACGTGAAGAGATTGAAGCTCTGCACCCATATCTGCCAGGATCTGACATCTTGACCACGACTGTGGAGGGCAGTGGTGACAGGAAGTGCTGGTCATACCAAAGACCAAGCCAACTGGGCCACATGCAGGCTGCCTGGTAACCCTTATAGTGTTCGCCAAGGGGGTGAGGGGCCCGCTGAGGCCTGGCAGGTGGTTGGAGATGGGCCACCTCAGGTGGGCTGAGGGACAGCGCTCTGAGCAGCCCACATGGGAATGTGCACTCCCTCCAACCCCCAGCCAGAAAGGACCTGGTCACGGGAAAGACAAAACCTCCAAGTGTGGAGACTCCACTCTTCTCTCCGCAGCTGTGTGAGGCCTCTGGCCTTATGGGCACAGGAACTGACTAGGGATGGGGCAGAAGGCAGAGTTCCCAATTAAGGTCACGTTCTCCTAACCTGGGAGAGATCACCCTACCAGGTTCTCATCTGGCTGGCTGGCCCTTGCCTGGGATAGTTTTGTTTTGCTCTCTCTCCCCGGGTGGAAACTAGAGGAGGTGGGCCCCTGCTGCTCCCAGAAGACGGGAAGCCATGCTTTGCCTTATGTAGCCAATCAGAAAACAATCCTCTAGTCCAGCAGCTACACCAGGGCAAGAACTGGGGAGAAAAACCAGGGTTTAAAAACAAGCCAGCAGAGGACTGGTTGGTCATTTCCCTTCTCCCAGCCCCAGCCCCATGTATCTGCCTTAGAAGACAACCTGTCTCTTCTACTCCCAGGAAAGGCTGTGTTCTGAGGAGTTGGGTGGCAAGAAATAAAGGAGATTCTCAGTTTACCTCTTTGGGATCTCTGTTTCCTTGGATATAAAGGTAAGATATGCACACCTGAACTGCCACCTTGTAGTGCAACTGTCTACTGGTCATGGAAGTGGAAGCACTCTGGAAACTGAATCAAAGTGCCGTGCAGATGCTCCATGACTCACCTCAACCAGGGGGAAGCCCTCCAGGCCAGGAAAGGGGTCTCTGGGAACATACCTCAAAGCTTAGGAGCTATAAAATAATTCCAAGCCCCCAGGGCCAATTGTCCAGGCTGACTAGGGAGAACTACCCACCCTCAATTCCTATTGTAACCAGTAATTACCAATTATTGTAATTACCAGTAATACTCTGGGATTTTTAGCATCCCTTCAAATAACGTAATTTCAGATCTGAAAATTCCTCACACATGGAAAAGAATATTACTTTTAATTTCTCTTTCACCAAGATATGTGCAACATAGGGAGGGGTTAAGTTACCCACAATCACCAAGTGACCAGGCCAAGATGACAAGTGGTGTTCCTAATCCCTGGCTAAATCCCAGCCCAGGTGGTTCAACTGGTACCCAGGTAGCTTTAAATAACCCAGATTCTCAGGTACTGATTCAGAGGTGTGGGGTCTGGGATTCTGTTCAGGTAAGGCAGAAAACCACACCTGTCTCAGGGCTTCTTCCCACGGGCACAGGGGCTGGTGGACCTGCTGCACAGGAAGGCCGGAGGAAGACGAAGTCCCAGCAGAGTGAGGCCCAGGAAAGATGAGAAACCTTGCCAGCAACAGGTGGCTCACAGCTCAGCCCTGGCTCCTGAACACAGAAGAGATGATGAAAAGTAGAAGCGCGGCAAGAGGCATCTGCCACGTGCATCATGCCTCACGCAGCCGCCACAGCTTTGACCAGGAAAACACTTCTCATCCTGCTTTCGCCACAGATCCTCCTCTGCTTGGACTAGGCAGAGGTACGGGAGGTACAGGGGCAGCAGATGGAATAAGAATGAGAGCAGCTGAAAGCAGTATTCTCCTCTAGCTTGGCGAGGATGGAGAAGAGAGCTGCACCCCACGAAAGTCTGGGCAGGAGGCTGCGCTCAAGCCGTTCCTCCCAGGCCTCAGAGTAGTGAGCATCTGCTCAGTTACCAGAGGGAGATGATAACCCTTTTCTCTGGTCTAGATCTCAGGTTTGAGGCCCCACCCCAGGATCAGTCTCTTCTTCTCTGCCCACCTCATTCCCCAGGCCTTCCCTCCCCCATGCCTTTCAGGATCCTCATAAAATAACCAACAGTAGGGGGGAAAGGTAAACCTTTATTTGGAAAAGAGTTCAAATGACCATTTAAAACCCCCTTTCATTTCCAAAACAGAAAATAACAAGGAAAAGATCATCTATCAAGCTCCTGCCCTCTGCCATCTTTAGCCATTTTTAAACTACGTTTCCTGGCAGAAAAAAACAGTGATGGGCCCTAGTCCTACAAACCAATAGGGCACTGTCTTGAGACCATCTCAGGAGATGCCCAGGGAGAGACAAACAGAGTGGATGGTGGAGTGTGGACAGATAGGCCTGGGGCTCAGACAGGCACATGCCCAGTACCCAGGAAACAATGTTTAAAAATATACATGAATAGATAAATTCCCCAGAACCCAGGCATGGAAAGCTTATAACCATGAACGCAGCAGCAGAATTATTCAAGCTGGGTCTTCGGCTCTCAAAAAAAAAAAGGAGAAAACATTAACCTCTAGCTAACTGTCCCGAACTCCAGCCTCTCAGCTATATCCTCCAGTCCCATTCTGGAGGCCAAGTGGGCCAACAGCAAGTCAAGTCTGCAGGGCCAGCAGCTACATCCAGCGATGCAGAATTCAGGCATGCAGGTGATTCATGTGGGCAAGGCCCCAGGGTGCTCCTGCACCAGGAGAGGGAAAGCAGAGGCCATGAGCCACCGAGGCCTTGCCGGAGGTGGGGCACCGCCACCTCCAGTTTTGCCCAGGGCCACCTTTCTGCTGAGAAGGTCTGGCCTGAGCTAAATACCAGGCTTTTCTAGGGGAAAAAAGGAAGGGGATGGGGGAGGCAGCAAAGAGTAAAAAGCAGTGGGAGGAGAGGATCAGAGAGCTGCAGCTTAGCTGTGCAGAGGGGAGGGAACAAGTCCCTGAGGTCTTGTGTCCCAGCTGAGGCAGCTGCAGAACCTGCCGGCTCTCTCCCCGCTGGGACTCCCACCCTCGCCGCAGTCCTCCAGTGAGATAGGAGCTCCCTGACAGTTCTTCCTCCTCATGCTTAAAGAGTTTGGCACCTCAGTCCACTACCCCTGCCCACTGACCCCACACAAGGGTTCAAACTTTGGCCTCCCACAGGGCAGCCTGGGGAAAGGGATGAGCCCTGGAGGAAGCATGCCAGGCCTGTGGGGAGCTCTGGGTCAAGGGCATCCCTGAATCCGCTGCTCCAGCTCGTGGGGCCCACTTGTTACCAGAGCCCGGACAATGAGGATGCCCTGGTTGGCAGGATGGACACCTAACGAAACACAGACGATAAAAGGAGAGACGGGCCCACGCTCCTGCCGCTGGCAGCCAGGTGCCCATGTGCCTGGCAGCACACAGCTACCCGGTCATGCCCTCCACCTGCCCCTAGGCTGACAGCCCCAATGTGGAAAGTGGGCTAGTCAGAGACAGGCATGACTACGCAGAGCAGTCCCACCCCGAGAGGATGTACACACAACACACATCTCATGCGTGTGTGTCTGGCAAGAGGGCTGGGCCCAGGGGTCTCAGGCAGGGAGAAGGTCAGGTCAGAAGGCACCCCACCAAGAAACGGCCTGAATACAAATAAGCAATGAGATCAATAGCTCCCGCAACCCTGGTAATTAAAAATCAAGGGGGAGCGCTGGATACATGGAAGGAAGGGGGAACCCCCCCTTCCGCCTCTCCCAGGGCCACCCAGTATGTGGCACAGGTTTAGGAAGAGGCTGGGGCGGGGCAGGGACCACAGGCAGAGAATGTGGACAGGCCTGGAGGAAATCTAGCCATGGGAGAAAGGGAACAAGGAGGGGAGGGGAGGAGAGGGGACGTAAGTTTCTTGGAGCTAAGTTTCCAGAAGCATGGGATATTTCCACAGTCTCTGATCCAGGTGGCTCTTCTGGAAGAGAAGCTCTCTTCCCCTGGGAGACCGTCATAGGGCGGTGACTTCCATCTCGAAGCTGGCCAGTAGGCAGAGGTGGTCTGAAGAGCAGAAGGGGTTGGGTAAGCCATTGGCAGCCCAGAGGATCTCTTCAGAGAGGAGGGAGAGCCGGCCCAGGAGCTTGAGAGTTCCATCGTGACAAAGCCTGCGATCTGGAGCACAAAGCGGAGGCCGGTGGGTAAGGCAGCCACAGCCAAACTGCACGGGGTGGGGGGGCCCCGTGGGAGCCACACCTTAGGAGGCTGCGTCTCCTCGGCGGCCCTATCCTCCCTCACCTCCTGCCGCCTCTGGCGGAGGCCTCATTTTCTCAGATATGCCATGATATGTCAATGAAAGAAGCCGGGCGGCTTCGGTGGGACTGCGGCAAACTAGAGTGCACGTCCAAGCCCAGCATTACAAGATCTTCCGATTTTCCGAGAGAAGCCGAAGTCCAGATTTGCTATGTAAAATTAGATTTCTCAACAGAAAATCCAAACATTTTAAAAGACATGCTTTAAACAAAACAGGCATGGAGCTGATAGACTGCTATAGTGTGACTATTGTGAGGGGTGAGAAAACAGGAAGTAGGGTTTCTAACCTAACCAAGTCCCTTACTAACCAGCTGCCACTGAACAAATCCAATAGAGCACCTCCTGGTGCCCTATTTTCATCTTTAAAATGGAGGGACGGGGCTTCCCTGGTGGCGCAGTGGTTGAGAGTCCGCCTGCCAACGCAGGGGACACGGGTTCGTGCTCCGGTCCGGGAAGATCCCACATGCCGCAGAGCGGCTGGGCCCGGGAGCCATGGCCGCTGAGCCTGCGCGTCCGGAGCCTGTGCTCCGCAACGGGAGAGGCCACAACAGTGAGGGGCCCGCGTGCCGCAAAAAGCAAAAAAAAAAAAAAAATGGAGGGACAGCTTGTTCTGCCCACATGTCTCTAACGCTAAAGGATGAAAAGAGAAGGCGGCGAATGGCCTAGGGGAAGTATGATGAGGATGAGCAGTGTCAGGGAGGTATGAGATCTGCTCCTTTGCTGGCCAGGTCCCAGCAGCCCAAGCCGTGTGATCAAATGCCTGACCTACCATCAGTTCCCAGGGACTCTTGGGGGTGGCTTCTAGGAATCCAGGATCCACCAAGCTTACCAGCTCTGTTCCCATTCTCGCAGGACTCAGCTGAGAAGAAGATGTAATCTACTGTCATTCCAAGACCCAAGGGCATTGTGGTGACCTCTGGGCGGCCATGCCGGGGCAGGAAATGAGTATATACCGAGGTCAGGTGGAGGCAGTGCTGGATGGTGCCTACAGTCCTTCGGGGATGGAAGGGAAGATGTCAGTCAACAAACATTACTGAACTTTTCGCAAGGTCACTTCTCTGTGGGTTTTATCAAGTTTTTTAAGGGATGATCCCAAATAACTCAACCTCAGCAAATGCCTTCCCATGCTAATTAAGAGGCTGAGAGTCTTAGCTAAAATTAGCCTAGAAACAGACACATTTATATACAGTCCTGCTGGCATTTCTCACCCCCCACTCTCCTCTTGCTACCTGGTGAAGTATACGTAATGTACCCTTGTCCATGGGTCAGCCAGCTCTTCTGTGAGGCCTTACTCCCAAAGGAAAAGGGCAGGGGCTTTTCATCTGCAAGAACCTATGTGGGTCACCTCTGGCCTCTGCACACTAGTATGTCCCTCCATAAACTTAGCACACACAAGGGGAAGAGAGAGCTCAGCAAAATGTGTTCGCCCAAATCAGCCCCAGGAAAGCCAACAGGAATCTCTCTAATACACCTCGATGGGGTTGGAATGCAAGCAGAAGGGAACTGGAAGAAGATTACCTGGGGAAGTCAGGCTCAGGCTCAGATATGTCTTCCTCAACGACAGGCTCAGCCCAGCCAGCAGGTCGCTCTGTAGAAGACCGGAGAGAAAGGGTTTTATCAATCACAGACAGTGAAGCAGGGTTAGAACCTTGCACCCTGAAATCCCACTCAGATCCTTGACTGGATTGTTCCAGAAGGGAAAAGGGAAAGAGAAAAGGTGAGGAGAGGAAGAAAACAATGGACCAAAGTCAAGAACCTCAGGAAGCAGACAGACAGAGGTCTCTAACACAGACATCTCTTCCCTGGCTCAGCAACTTCTTAAAAAATTTAAATTCATTCTTTAGGTAATACAGTCACATGGTACAAAAATCAAAATGTAGAGAAAAATATCAGTGAAAAGGTTCCCTCCCACTCTGGGACCTTGCCACTCAATTCCTCTCTCCAGAGGCAACAAATGTTAACAAATTCCTGGTGTATTCCTCCAGAGATTTTCTATCACCCACCATCCATTGTGTGCATATATGTATCGGTGTATGTATGCGTATACATATGTATGCACACATACGTATCCATACTTATACACACCTATATATGTACACACCCATACACAAAGAAAAAAGACACACATTACCAATATCAGGAGAGAAAGAGGGAATATTATTACAGATCTTACTGACATTAATAGGTATTATGAACTGAATGTTTGTCTCTCCCCAAAATATGTTGAAATCTTAACCCCCAGTGTGATGGCATTAGGAGGTGGGGCCTTTAGGAGGTAATTTGGCCTTGAGGGTGAAGCCCTCATGAACAGGATTAATGCCCTTATAAAAGGGATCCCAGAGAGCTGTCCTTTCTGCCATGTATGGATGCAACAGTAAGTTGGCAATCAGCAACCCAGAGGAGGGTTCTCACCGAAATTGGACCATGCTGGCACCCTGACCTTGAACTTCCAGCCTCCAGAACTGTGAGAAATAAATTTCTGTTGTTTATAAACTACTCAGGCTGTAGTGTTTTGTTATAACAACCCAAACTAAGAAAAAGGATAACAAGGATCAACAAAATTGACAAACCCTTAGCTAGACTGACCAAGAAAAAAAGAGAAAACTCAAATTACTAAAACCAGGAATGAAAGAGGGGGCCATCACAACCAACCTTAAGAAATAAAAAAATTATAGGGATACAATAAACAATTGTATACCAACAAATTAGATGACTTAGGTAAAATGGACAAATTCCTAAAAAGACAAAAACTACACAAACTGACTCAAGAAAAAGAAGAAAATCTGAATAGTTCTATAACAAAGAGACTGAATTAGCAATTTAAAAATTCTCACAAAGAAAAGCCCAGGCTCAGATAGCTTTACTAGTGAATTCTGCTAAACATTAAAAAAGTAATATGAATCCTTCACAAATACTTCCAAAATATAAAAGAGGGGACACTTCCCAACTCATGCTATGAGGTATTATTCTGATATCAAAACTAGACAAAAACGTCACAAAGAATGAAAACTACAGACTAATATCGCCTATGAATGTAGATGCAAAATGCCTCAACAATTACAGTTCTGTGATTTATAAGAAATGTATATTTGGTCATTCAGATGACCAAATATATATTTCTCATATATAGTCAGTCTTCATATACAGTCTTAGTCCACAGTTGCTGGTTCAAAGCTCCCCAAACCCTTAGAATTTCCTGAGTGTTGAGAGTGAGCAAGGTGCCTTTTGTTATGTTCATGAGGCAGTTTTGGAAAATAGCTAAGGTTGGGGGCTGGTTGCCAATGGAACCAACCATGTGATTAGAGGAACTTTCAGTCCCACCCTATGACCTCTAGGGAGCGGAGAGAGGTTGGAGGTGGAATCAATCACCAATGACTAAGGATTTAATAAATCACGCCCATGTAATGAAGCCTTCATAAAACCCCAAAAGGACAGGGTTTGGAAAGCTTCCACGTTGGTGAACTTATGGAGATTCGAGGGAGAATGGTGCACCCAGAGAGGGCATGGAAGCTCCACATCCCTTCCTACATACCTGCCCTATGCATCTCTTCTGTTCAGCTGTTCCTGAGTTATATCCTTTTATAATAAACCAATGATCTAGCAAGTCAAATGTTTCTCTAAGTTCTGTGAACCACTCTAGCAAATTAATCTAACCCAAGGAAGGAGGGGATAGTGGGAACCTCTGATTTATAGCCAGTCGGTCAGAAGAAGCACAGGGAACAACCTGGTCTTTTGACAGGCGCCTGAAGTGTTGGAGGGGTGGGTCTTGTAGAACTGAGCCCTTAACCTGTGGAATCTGATGCTATCGCTGGGGAGACAGTGTCAGAATTGAGTTGAATTATTTGTTGGTGTTGGGGGAAACTCCTCCTCCCCCATGTTGGAAAACGAGTCTCAGAACAATATACTGGCAAACTAAATCCAGCAAAATAGAAAAATGACTATATACTATGACCAAATACGATTTATCCTAAAAATGTAAGGTTAACATCTGAAAATCAATTAATATAATACATCATATTAACAGAATACTGAAGAACAAAAACCACATGATTATCTGAATAGTCACAGAAAAAATATCTGACAAAATCCACTCCTTTATGACCAAAAAACAAACCCACAACACTTAAAAAACTAGGAATAAAAGAAAACTTCCTCAATCTGGTGAAGGGAATCCACAAAACACAAACAAATAAAAAGCAAACAAAAAAACCTCATGGCTAACATCATACTCAATGCTGAAAGACTGAAAACTTTACCCCCAAGATCAGAAATAAGACAAGAATATTCGCTGTCACCACTCAACACTGTAATGAGAGTTCTAGCCAGGACAATTATGGACCAAATAAAATGCATCCAAATTGGAATGGAAAAGAGTAATACTATTTCTATTTGCAAGGTGACATGATCTTATATATAGAAAATCCTAAGAAATGCACTAAAAAACTATTAGAACTAATAAATGAGTTTGAGGGACTTCCCTGGTGGTGCAGTGGTTAAGAATCTGCCTGCCAATGCAGGGGACACAGGTTCGAGCCCTGGTCGGGGAAGATCCCACATGCTGCGAAGCAACTAAGCCCATGTGCCACAACTACTGAGCCTGCGCTCTACAGCCCGAGAGCTGCAACTACGGAGCCCACGTGCCACAACTACTGAGCCCACGTGCCACAAGTACTGAGCCCACGAGCCACAACTACTGAAGCCCGTGTGCCTAGAGCCCCTGCTCCACAACAAGAGAAGCCACCGCAATGAGAAGCCTGTGCACCACAACGAAGAGTAATCCCTGCTCATCGCCACTAGAGAAAGCCCACGTGCAGCAGTGGAGACCCAACACAGCCATAAATAAATAAATAAATAAATTTATTCATTTAAAAAAATTGAGTTTGAAAGATTGCAAGATACAAGACTGATATACAAAAACTGCATCTCTATACACTAGCAATAAACAATCCAAAAATGAAATTCAGAAAATATTTCCATTTATAAAAGTAACAAAAGGAATTTTAAGTAGTTACAAATAAATTTTACAAAAGAAGTATAAGACACACTGAAAGCTATAAAACATGGAAAGAAATTAAAGATCTAAATAAATGGGAAAACTTCCATGTTCACTGATCGTAAGATAATACTGTTAAAATGGCGACACTTCCCAAACTGATCTACAGATCTGTAAATCCCTACCAAAATCCCAACTAACTTTTTTGCACAAATTGACGTGGTGATCCTAAAATCCACATAGAAATGTATAAGAGACCCAGAATAGCCAAAATAATCTTGAAAAACAACAATGAAGTTACAAGATTTACACTTCTCTATTTCAAACTTATACAAAGCTAAAATAATCAAGGCAGAGTGGTACCGGCATAAGGCTAGGCATATAGATGAACGGAATAGAACTGAGAGTCCAGAAACCCATACGACCACTGTTGATTTTTTACAAGGGGAGGGGTAAAGGGAAAATAACTGCTAATGAATATGGGATTCCTTTTGGGGGTGATGAAAATGTTGTAAAATTATATTGTGATGATGGTTCCACAACTCTGAATATACTAAAAGCCACTGATTTGTACACTTTAAATGGGTGAATTTTATGGTATGTGAATTCCACCTCAATAAAGTTATTTTTAAAAAAAGGTAAGAGAATGTTACGGACAACTTCATGCCAATAAATTTGTTAATTTATATGAAATGAAATATTCCTACATTTTCCCTGTTAAATTGTTTTCTTTTTGTTGCTATTATAAATAGGGTCTTCTTAAAATTACATCTTATAACAAATATATCATTATTTTATTATACGAATACTACTGATTTCTGTATATTAATATTCTGCCCAGATACTTTCCAGAATTAATGCTAATAATAGTTGTTAGGTGATTCTCTTGGATAACCAGTTATATAACCATATTAACAGCAAGTAATAGTTTACCCCCTCCTTTCCATTGTTTACTTCTATTTTCTTGTCTATATTTCTATGTTCTATTTCTAATTCTGTGGCTGGTGTCTCTCATAGTTGAATGACAGTAGTCATCCCTATCTTGTTCCCAACTTTGACAGGAATGCTACTAGATTGTCTTCTTTAAGCAAGATGCTCATTTTTGGATTGAGATGAATGCTTTTGTTTTTTTTCTTTTTCAGGCATCTGGTGGCTCCACGCCCCTTCCTCCATGGTGCACCAAAGCGCTGACTGACCAAGATAAATGTATTTTAAGGGTATAAGGAATTATCTATTTTTTCCTTAAGAAGGTTCTTTTTAAAAGAATCTGGAATAGATGTTGAATTTTAACAAATGTCTCTGACATCTACAGGATGACATGCATTTCTATTTTTTAATAGATTTCATATATTTATTAGCATGATAAATACATTAATAGATTTCCCAATACTGAACTACCTTCATATTTCTGATAAACTCTATTTGGGCATAGTATATTGCTCTTGAAATGTGATGTTAGATTCTGTTTCCTGATCTTCTATGTACATTTTTTAAGCATCAATATTCATAAGTGGAGAATATTAAGGTCTGTAATTTTCTTTTCCTGTGTAACTGTTGTCAGGTGTTGGTTTCAAATACTTCTTTTGTAAAAACAA